GTGGGGTATTTTTTAAGAAATATCGTGAGTGAGTAATGAGGATTTAAGATATTATGTAATATAAGTTAGAAGCCTTTCCGCTAAAAGAAAAATATATGAGACATGACAATAGAAACAATTCAATTTTATATTTTATTTAAAAGAGTATATATCAAAAACAACAATGATCAAATTAGAGTTAATAGATTCAAACAAATTTACTTCTGTGCTGTTTCTTTAATGCATATTTTATAGATGTGATCTTTAATAATTTCCTTAAATTATCTATTTAAAGTAAATTTATTTTTGATCTTAATAATACGTACAGCTTCTAATTACTCAAGCTTTCCTTATAATTGTTACTAATCACTTCAAAAAAAAGTTTTTAATCGACTCTGAATATGAGGCCAAGCTATTGAATAAGATCTGTATAGATTATCAATTCGAAATTTAGTCTCTTGAGGAAATAAAGAATCAAGTTGCAAATTAATTGAGGCAGAAACTGAAAATTAAATTCTAGTAATGCTTATATATGCCCTTGTTTTTTTTTAATTTATTTGAAGCCGAAGTGGTTTAAGCAGTAAACCCAAAGATACAACATTTATCCAATAAGTTAAATAATTTTTGAAATTAGATAATATATACACAATATCAGATTATTTAGACCTAGTACTAGTACTCTAAAAATTTAAAATTATAAGCCCCTATAGTATTATAATAATATTATAGTATATTTGAAATATTAATTCTAATAAAAATAATATTAAAACCTGCTATTCAGTTTCTAACCACCTGAATATTTGCTTAATTTCGAAAAATAATACTTCATACCTGATATTTGATATTTAATAAGATTTTCAGCTATAACTAAGTCAATTATATAAAGAAGTAAATGGATTCAAATATGAATTAGTAATGAACGGGAAATTAGATGAGTTTTTAAAATTCATTCTCTACTTTGATACTTTAGATAAAATCTCTAGGTTCAAAACGATCAGTTTTAAAAATCCATCTTATGATTTTACAATTCTGGCTGATGATAAAGTATAACCATATGAGACTTGCTCATTTAAGAATTATAGTTATAAATAAGTAAGAAGAAATATTTTATTCAGATTAGCTTAGATGTAGAAATTTATGTAGGAGAGCACATCCCATATTTATATAATAAATATGATAAATCAAAATAATAAAAAAATTAAATAGTAATATTAGACAAACTCTTTTTAAGCTAGATTGGCCTAATTAAAAAGGATTTAACATTTAGATTAGATAAACTAGCCTGTAATTGGCTAAATATGCAGTATTTTCTATATCTTCTAGCACTTCTAATCTTTCTAATTTCATGTATTCAGCAAAAGCTTACTTTTTTCCTTTTAGATAAAACTGGACTAAATTTAAATATATTAATTTTTGATTTGGAAAATATCATGTTTGTTTTTATAGTCTATAATAGAGAGGTTAAAAAGGACTATCCATATAAAGCTAACGAATTTATTTATCTAACATCAATCCAACGCTAAACAGCTCAAATAATAAACATCCTTAAGCATCGTTTTCAATTAAATCATATTTTTTTGTACTTCTCAATCCCCACATGTGTAAAATTATTTTTTATCCAATTTAAATAATATAATTCTCAGAATAAATAAGTTATATTCCAGTATCTTTTAGGTTATTTAATACTTTACTTTAATACTTTTATAAAAATAAATACATTAGAATGAAAGCATCTGAACATATTTAATATAAAACTATTTTGTAGGCATTGATGAAATTTCATAATTTAACGCTCTATTTTAATTAACTTTGGAGTTAATTAATAATTAGAATATTGAGTTTGAGAATACGCATAATATGAAGGTGATTATAAAGTATACTTATAACTTCTTCTAATAGATAGACTCATTATTCCAATTTTGCCTGATGGGATAAATAGTTAAGGATAGAAATATTTATAGTTTTTTTAAATTATAAGATAGAAATAACTTAACATATTTGCTAACAAGACTAAACTACTTGCATTTTTTAATAATCATAAATTTAGACATCCAAACACATTTGTAAGGTCTCCCTCAAGTAGGACTAAGTCAAGCAGATTTCTAGCAAAATTAGTGTAAAGTCTAGGATTATTGATAGATAAAAAATAATAGAAAAAATAGAAGTATTATAATATAATGAAATAATTAATATTAAAAAGAGAAGAAGTATAGTAAGAGAAAGGGTTTATTTCTAGTTTAGTTCCAACCTAGCCAAAACCTGGAAAGTCTCAGACTATTGTGAGAATTAACAAGATCTTGACCGTGTAGCCAAGCCATACTACCACAGTAAATTATAGAGTGTATTCCAACCTCTCCTGTTAGGCCAAAACAGAACAACAGCCACCTCGCTCATAGTATGCCGGCTATTTGGGCCCATCATTCTATGTCAAAGCTACATTAATATATTTATTCATCTAAAACCACTTAATACATTTATTCTAAGTTATATCTGTATATGATTTTCAAAATAACAACAATTATTTATCGTTTTGAGGAAATATTAATGCTTTCAATACAAAATAAATAGATGAACAAAGAAGACGAATAAATTGATCCCATATCTTTGGACATGTTCCAAGAACTTACATATGTATTTTGGAATTATGTCTATTCCACCGTTAAAACTAAACTAATAATAAGTTTTACTAAAAACAATGAAATTATTTACAAAACAGCTAAAAAATCAAAGGCGAAAATTGCTTAAAATATTTATCGGCCTCCCAAAGACTATACCTGACATGTTGCCAATTAACCATTTTGGAAATATGGAAATTTAAGCAGATGTCCTCCCTAAAGGAGATGACTAAAAGATAATTTTTCAAAGTTTGAGGAATAGATAGAGACATTTAATGAATATTAAAATTGAATATTATATTTAATATATAAGTAAATCAATTTACCAAATAATGACAAATTTATATTTACTTAAAATGGCCATTAAAGCAGAAAATGCAAAAAAATGATTTGATTTGTTTTATATTTCTCAAGGATAATTTAAACCATTAATTTTTGGACAATCAGAATTTAATTGAAATTTACAAATTTTGATAAGATAACTGATAAATCTTTGTTATTTTATATTCTGTATTTGTTTTCCAAAACTAATGAAAGTCATCGATAAATAATTAAACTCTCTCTTTCTATAATAACAGTGCACTTATTTTTTTTAAGATTGTCCTCTCACAACAAGCAAACAATCAAAAACAATTTTTAAGTACAAATTCAAAATGACTCAATAATCAAGCCAATGTTTATTATTATAAGCTCTTAAGCTGATTCTAGAAAGTAATATCTTTTCTTAAATTAGTGCGAATAGAAAGTAGTTTGAGTTATATAAATTTTAATGTTGCTTCTTAATTTTCTATTGCTTACAATAAAGTAATATATAATGCTAGGTCATAAAAAAAATTGGCTTAATTGAATTGTGTTAGGGTGCTAGAATTTCCGAAATAGATGAAAATAAATATAGAGGCTAAGTTTTAATGATAATAGGAATTTAAATTATTGGAGATATTTAATTTACTTTTTCAAATAAGAAGATATATAAAAGCAAATGAACTAAAATCACAAGAAATTTTAAAATGAGCAAATTCATTTTTATTATCAGAGCCTTTGTATCATAAAAGTTTAATTAAGTGAAATTTATCAGAAATTGAAAAATAAATTATTAGAATAAAGGTAGGATAACGAGCAATTTTTTTTTTGTAAAGAATAATATATATATAAACATATTATGAGAGGACAAAGACATATTAATAAGCAGCTAGGGTTTAAAAGAATAGAAATAAGGAAATGTAAATATTTAAATCCAAATAGAAATAAGATGTAGTAATATTGATAATCAAAAGATGAATGTATTGGATATGGAGCTAATGTTATAAAGAGAATAGCAATAAAATAAATAGAAGTAGTTTTGTTTTGGAGTTGTAATAAAATTTTATTAATTTAGAATATTACTACTGCAAACTTTCTTCTTATAAACATTCCTATTATTGTAAAATTAAATCTATTAATTCTGCTATTAATTTTAAATTAATAAAAAACGATGGTTTAAAGAAAACTTATTATTTAATTAAGATGTTCCTGAAAGCTTTCATAATAAAAATATTAACTAGTAATTGTATTAGTATTCGAAAAAAAGCAATATTCTTTATTATTGTTTATTATAATATTTAGTCTTGCATTCTCATCATTGTTATAATTTAATTAATCCTCCAAATTCTATATCAATATATATCTTTCTATTCAAATATCAAGCCTTATTGTATATGAGAAAACTCTCCAGATATCAATTTCAATTCATTCTTTAATTACTCTATCATTTATTGTTATTCTATTTATTGCTTTATTTCATATACCTTATATTGTACTTTATCCAATCTATCATTTTTTATTGAAAGTATCAAATTGTCTACTATAATTTTTATAATCCCATCATCTAATAATAAGATTGCAGGTTCACTTTCATTAATCAACGTTAGATTATTATCATCTACGTCACCTATAAAAAAGATTCATCAACAAGCGAGGAAGTACCTTCTTTTTAAGGTCCCGAAAAATCTGGGAACCTAAGTTGCCAAATACATATTATCCCAAAAAATAATTTTTCAAACCTCAAGAATTAACCTAATTTCTTTTGTTAGAGGTGATGAGGAGATTTATTAAATAATAATAATAATAAGTGATCTTATAGAGAGTTCTGGAAGAAAGATGAACAAGGAGAGCAGACAGAGTGTTTTGATGATTAGGAAAGCGTTCAATAAAGAAAGAAAAAGTGGATTAAGGTAAAGGTTTGAGGTAGCAAAATTTGATAGTGAGTTGAGTAGAACAGAATAGTATATAACAAATGAAGGAGTTCTAATACTACTTTGGAAGCAAAAATTTGATCATTCTACCTAATGATAATGAGAGGTTAGAAGTAAACTTCAAGAAAAATGTATATGAGTTTTGATTAATGCAGAATACTTAGTAGTAAGTTGTGAAAAATATAATTAGAAATCAAGGAAAGGAGTAAACTAGAACATAAGCTGGTGATTAATATAAAGATATATAGCGATACAATAGTAATTCTTCATAAGATTTATCTGTGGAGGTTTAGAACTTGAAAACATATATGGTATGATATTTATTATTATTCTTTTTGGAATTTTATTAAATTTTGGAGATAGTTATAAGCGAAGATACTCAATAAATTGAAAAATAACAAAATCAAAAGATACTCCTAAATTATTGGATTTAAATGCTAAGATTTTTCATCTATTTATATAGTCACATCATATAAAATGAAAATTAACTGAAGGATTTCATCTCCTATCTAATGAACTTTAGAATTATTCTCATATAAATATTAATTTCCTAAAGGATAAAAGCATATCTCAAAAGAGCAAGGGTCAATAAAAGAACGAGAATTAACTACAAGTGCCTCCTAATTTTATGTCATCCAAATTAAGCACTCAATCCTTAATCCTCCCTAAATGAGCTTCAGAATTTCTATCATAATAATTAATATAATCATGAATATAATTGAAGTGTTGAAATGGAATTTTGGATGCAGAAGATAGAATACATGTGATAATTATGGAGACTATATTACTACATTTAATGCAAATACTTGCTCAATGTGGCGTTATGGTTATAATTTGATCACATCAGATAGTTTAATACGAAAACATACTTCAAGACATTTCAATTTAACTCGTGTTTATTAGGATGCGTATCCAATATTTGACAAGTAATTGTGAGATTGTAAAAAAGCTTATGAAAATGTGATATCCAATCTAACTGCATTTAACCATTCTGATTGTTCTTGTTGGAAGAGTTCGTGTATTTATAATAAAGCTAAACCAGTGTAACTGGTTATGCTTGGTGTAATTTATATGACCTAATTATTAGTTGACTCCATTATTATAATAATAATGCTTGTTAAAACTATTATAGCAATTGCACTGCAAATTCTGCACAATTCTAANAAGTGGATTAAGGTAAAGGTTTGAGGTAGCAAAATTTGATAGTGAGTTGAGTAGAACAGAATAGTATATAACAAATGAAGGAGTTCTAATACTACTTTGGAAGCAAAAATTTGATCATTCTACCTAATGATAATGAGAGGTTAGAAGTAAACTTCAAGAAAAATGTATATGAGTTTTGATTAATGCAGAATACTTAGTAGTAAGTTGTGAAAAATATAATTAGAAATCAAGGAAAGGAGTAAACTAGAACATAAGCTGGTGATTAATATAAAGATATATAGCGATACAATAGTAATTCTTCATAAGATTTATCTGTGGAGGTTTAGAACTTGAAAACATATATGGTATGATATTTATTATTATTCTTTTTGGAATTTTATTAAATTTTGGAGATAGTTATAAGCGAAGATACTCAATAAATTGAAAAATAACAAAATCAAAAGATACTCCTAAATTATTGGATTTAAATGCTAAGATTTTTCATCTATTTATATAGTCACATCATATAAAATGAAAATTAACTGAAGGATTTCATCTCCTATCTAATGAACTTTAGAATTATTCTCATATAAATATTAATTTCCTAAAGGATAAAAGCATATCTCAAAAGAGCAAGGGTCAATAAAAGAACGAGAATTAACTACAAGTGCCTCCTAATTTTATGTCATCCAAATTAAGCACTCAATCCTTAATCCTCCCTAAATGAGCTTCAGAATTTCTATCATAATAATTAATATAATCATGAATATAATTGAAGTGTTGAAATGGAATTTTGGATGCAGAAGATAGAATACATGTGATAATTATGGAGACTATATTACTACATTTAATGCAAATACTTGCTCAATGTGGCGTTATGGTTATAATTTGATCACATCAGATAGTTTAATACGAAAACATACTTCAAGACATTTCAATTTAACTCGTGTTTATTAGGATGCGTATCCAATATTTGACAAGTAATTGTGAGATTGTAAAAAAGCTTATGAAAATGTGATATCCAATCTAACTGCATTTAACCATTCTGATTGTTCTTGTTGGAAGAGTTCGTGTATTTATAATAAAGCTAAACCAGTGTAACTGGTTATGCTTGGTGTAATTTATATGACCTAATTATTAGTTGACTCCATTATTATAATAATAATGCTTGTTAAAACTATTATAGCAATTGCACTGCAAATTCTGCACAATTCTAACAGTAACTGTATCGATAAAACTTGTCTTACTTCATCAACTTACAATTGTTGTAAATTTATTTATTCAGATACAAATGCTATAGAAATTTTGTAAGAACATGTGCAATTGCAGTTACTGTTCATAACATTCATTATAAGATTGTAAATGGATGAGATTTATGAATATCTCACTGTGCTTATAAATCGTAGGTAATTATGGCTGTAGAGAAAGGCATATTCAAATTTTGTAAGTACAAACTAATCTAATCCAACCTCTTATGCTAAATTTAATTTGTTAATTTGACAAATTCAGTTTTTATTTACAATAATTATTCAGCCTGGTAAGTAAATTGCAGAATTTATTCATCAAAATCGCTTTTGAATCTTGGTTATCAACTTGTACTAATCATGGAAATACAAATAATAATAATAGAACATTTTTAATTCTGTGAAAATTTATTATTATGCTCATTTAAATAAATTCATATAAATTCAATGCTTGGAAATTTTATTGTGCACTTATTAATGCAGGTTTCACAAATAAGACTTGTAGCTTTCATTATTTTAAAGCAAATCATGTTTGGCCATTAGATCATGAATTAAAGACATACAAAAATTATCCAAGTGAACAATAAATTGTTAAAGTTGGGCTTTCCTTTTGTAGAGTAAGTTCTGC